GGTGCACTAGCCCATCGCAGTGTGCACACTTACTTGGAGAAACTCAGGCATTGACCTTGGCTGTGTCCCAATTCAGGGGCTGCATCCGTTGAATGAGGCAATCTGCATAGCCTTTACAGCCTGTGTCCTTCGAAGGTCCACACAATGAATTTTGGACAGGTTGGCCTTCAATATAGGACAGCCTTGTTGTACCACTGGGAAGCATTCATTCTTTGAATGTAGCTTTAGAAGGATGCAGCTCCTGAATTGGGACACAGCCGTAGTAATTTAGGTACTCTAATGTACTTCATTTGCATGTTTTCAGACTGCCAGTAGAACCAGAGGATTCACACACGTGCAAAATGTTAGTGTGCGGTGACAGCTTTAACAATTGTGCCACCGTGTGCGTCATCACTAGGCAGGCACGATGTGTAACGTTAATATACACATTTTATGTCGTGCACATGCAGTTCTCACATCTGTACAGTACATCACAACTGTAATAGGCAGCTGGGTTAAGACAACAGGTTATGCTAAAACATTTTTTCTCTGCCACAGGAAACAAAACTTAGCAAGTTCTGCAGTTTTAATGGTACTTCCTTTTCAAGATTATCTGGTATATGTTAACAAACATCAGTGTAAAGCATACCACAGCTGCTTTCGCATGAGCTCTGCATGCGTTCTCTGAGCCAGTCAATAATCATTTTCCATTCTTGCTGTCAGACTCAGTCATAGACTGTGGTGCATTTCCGAGAAATTTAACAAAAATGAGTGAGGAGGAGAGAAGTGAACAAAAACTAGTCAACAAAGAAATTTGTCTTCTGCTGTATGGAAATATTTTGGATTCCATAGAGACGATATTGAGCAAAAAACAAGCGATGTGTCGGCGCTCTTTGTGTCTGTTAGCACAACTCATAGTGACACCATCCCTTTATTTGACAGACTCTGTAGGTAGATAAAAACACATTTTATAACATAATATGGGTGTTATGCAGCATATTAGGCTGTGTAAGCTGATGCGGCTGGCTAAGCAGTGGGGCTAGACTTCATTTTTGTGGTGATTATCTTGAGATACATCATAGAAACTAAATTAAGCTCAATAATCTAAGTCAATGTTATGACAAAAAATAGGATAGGCTACTCCAAAAGGCTAAATGACGCATAGCTTATAGTTATTTATGGCTGTCCTCATATTATTAGATATCTGTGTCTTCTTTTACGATGTTGTTGCATTGTATTTGTGCTGTTAGTTTACTACCCTTGTGTCACAGTATTTACCGGAAGCAACAAAATATATAGGGGTGTGGGGGGGTCACATAAATTCACTTTTATCACAGAAGTGATACAAAATGAGCTCAGAATTGTAGTGGAATAATTTTTACTATTTAAAGGCGTTATGTGTGCAGTAGAAGGCCAGGGTCTGTGATGACTTCATTTTTATTCACTTTTAATGTGAAGCTGTTCCACACATCCGAAGCTTTGGCTCTCTTTTGAACCCCCTTTAAGACCCTCATCCGTTATGTTCAGTCTTCCTTGTGCCTTGTTGCTGAGTAATCAGGAAGCCAAATTTTAATCGATGCTTTTAAAAAATAATGATGATAATAATTGAGTAATTGGGCTTAATCAAGTCATTGTGACAGCTCTCATTCTGTCCTTACAAGAGACACTGCTTGTAGCATTATAATGATATTCATTTTTAATTTATTAAAGTATGTATCTTAATTTATTAAGGTATGTATGCAAGGGTATAATTTATGTGAGGGTGGGGGGCTTCTAACCCTCCCAATAATCAAAATCGACCAACACAAGCTCCCCAACAATCATGTCTCCCCCTGAATGAGTAGAGACCTCAACTCCCCCATGTTCAAACCAAAGTTACGCTCTTGTATGTATGTAAAAGAAACTGACTCATCGCAAAAGTGCTTTTTAATTTTTTTGTAATAAATCCAAATTATGGATTTGTCCATTGCAGAGCACACACACACACAACAGGAAATTTAGAGACACAGATTGACCCAATCACATGTTTTTGGACTATGGGAGGAAACTAGAGTATTTGGTGAAAACCTGTATGAAGACAGTGGACATGCATACACCTCACACACAGTTGGGTGGGAATTAGGTCCACAACCCTGGAGGGGTGAGGTAACAGTACTGCTCAGTGACCGAGTGTACGTCATTTATAACTAAACCAAGTAGGGCATATTTATTTTTATATGTGTGTATGTGTGTTGGCTTGTATTAGGGGTGGGCTAATAACTTAATTTTAATTTCAATTACAATTTTGACTTCCAACAATTATCAAAACAAAATACACAAGGTAAAATGATTATTGTGCTGTATTTTGTTTCGCAATGATGCTCGAAGGTGAACGAGTAATCAGGTTGAACAATTGTGATCTGAATAGTGACTAAAATAATCATGATTATGATTTCTGCCATAATCAAGCAGCCCTAGTATGTGTATATGTAATTATGAATGCATTTATTTGTTGAGAATTATTCCTGAGCAACTAACTTGCACCATGTACAATTTGAGAAAAGACCAAAACCTAGCATAAATAAAACAAACACTTTCACTGTGGTGATGGTAGTTCACTTTTCTTTCTTATACAACCTGAGAAACAGAGGCTAAATTCTGGGGACTAAGGCAGCCCTGTCACTGAGATTTCCATATTCACCTCTGTCAATGCCATCCGCTCTCTCTTTTGTACTTGGTCTTTTGAGCTCCAGCAAAAGCTGGATTGGCGTCATGTTGGGAATAACAAAGCTGAGGGTCAGTGAAGAATTTCACAGATTTATGTAAGAGTTCATGTCCTTGTGTTAACCAGAAAAGACTGAAAAGGCTGAAAAGATGCCTCACAGAATGTTGTAAATAGAGCTGTCTGTTTCTCCCATGTGATCATACAGCAGCACCTGAAATTTTTCCCAGTCATACATTTTGCAAAATGAGCTTATTGGTACTTCGTAGGAGCAAACATTAGACTTGTTCTCTTTACAATGTCTGCTGTCTCTTTCCATTATATAAATTTTTTTTTTCCTTTCAGATAAATCACAGAACAACAGTAACACGAAGTACATTCTGTTCCGTAAAGTGCTGTTGTGTCACAAAATTCATCTGTAATTATTTGGATTTTGTGTCAGGAGTGAACCGTAATGCCGTACTGAGAAAAATTTAGGACTTCTACAAGGACATATGCAGAGATACTGCCATTAACATTTTGGTTATTATTGCTGTTTGGGGGCAGGTTTGTTTTTCGACACAAGTCTGCACAGAACATAACAGCTACGATTAGCTTTTTATGACTTCTCTACGACTATTTCTGAAGAAATGCGAATGTGTTAGCATGTTTTTGTACGGACAGGGCTCTGAATTGATTTTTTTTCTTGCACATGCTTTTCAAGGTCAGATAAGAAATAGCAACGACAGTGACAGCTCAAAATGTTTTAAAGTCTTAGCTTCCCTCTAAATTTCAAGGTGCAGAATTCTATAATGCATTTCACGGCTTTGTTCTGTTAATTAACGTGGCTTTCACCTCGGCCACTTCACATTAAAATCCTTAACTCTAAACGATGAATCACAAAGAATCAAGAGGCTTGTAGCCAGCTGCTCTTTAATGCTATATGAGACAAACCTTTTCCAAGACTACTTTAGTTGAAAGAAATTGTCATGTTATGCATGATTTTTTTTTCTTTCAATGCAACGTTTAGAAGTTCTTTCATTACAGTACAGCCTGTGGAAGAGTACATCTTTTGTGTTCTGTGATTTACAGAAGTGACAGTTCTTTTACCGGGAAGAGCAGTGAAAAGCAAGTGCAGAATAAAAAACAGCCTGTTTTGTAACTAGAAAAACTGACGCTTGAAAAAAAAAATTGTTCAAAACTACAGTAAATTGCATATAGTCAATCAACATAGCACAGTACACGATGGATGATTATTTTTTTATCATCATTTCAGCACAAATTCATGTAATAAAGAGTTTTGATCAGTCCAGCCTATTTTAAGGCATAGTGATAATGATCTAGTCTTTTTGCTGAACCACCAACCAATAGCAGAGCCAGAAATCATAGCGTGGGTGAGTTGGCAGAGAATCAGGAGGGCCAATCCCATAACAATTAACTTGGCGACAAAATCACACTATAAACTCAACTAGATATTTTTTTTCTCAGTTTTTAAATGACCCATGGCATTAATAAGACCCAGTGAAGAAAGAGAGAAAAATCTATTGGCCTCTCAACAGCACATTTTGTCCAACTGATCTAACCACGCCCACGCATACCTGTCAGACACCGTCTTTTTATTGTACTGTATCGCTGGCTGTGAACGCTGAATGGGGGNGGGGGGCTGAGCTCCATCTGGGAGAGCCCAGGTGGTCCTGGTCCCGTCCATGTTGCCGCAGTAGCTACTGTACTTACCTTGCAAAGAATCATCTGTAAAAATGCAGACATTCTAGTTACTGTGTAAGTGAATGATCAGCTATGATACAACACTAGGACCTTGAAAGCTTAATCGTATAAAAAGATATTGGGAAAGAAATCTCTTTTTGTTTAAGTAAGTAAGAAAGGGTTAAGTTCTGTTACGTTTTAGATCAGGCAGTCCCTGAGTTAAGAACGACCAACTTACGGACAACTCGTACATACAGACTGCCATAAAGCCTTTTATAATAAAAATTTATGTTAAATACAATGGTTCATGATAACTAACACACGCACTACTTTGTGATGCTCGTGAAAACATGCGCGGCTTCAGCAGTTCGTTGGCTCAAGGTCATTATAGTACCTAATGTAGCCATTATTGTTTGTTATTACTGTGTTATTATAATTCCAATTTACATGCAAATTTGACTTAAAGAATTGCTCGTAACCTGGGGATGGTAGGTTTAAAAAAGGTTGTGGTATATTGTGGTATTGCTAAGTTCCAGCAAAGAACAAATTTCTTTGTTTAATGGTTTATGATCAATCGGTCTATTGTGCATACTGTAATTATGTTGTATAATAATGGGTCGTTCTCTTGTCTGATTAGGGCAGAACTGGTCATGCCATTTGGCTGCTTAACTCTCGGGGAGAAAAAGGATTACAACAATCCCTCAGAGGTGACTGACAAGTATGATCTGGGACAGATCGTTAGATCGTGAGTACTCTTGCATTACATATATAATACAATCATTTACTGATTGGTAAAGCTATCGTCTGAGCTTTTTTCTATTGCTGATATATTGTATATTGCTGAACATTGTGCTCTTGTAAAATATGCACGTGATTTAATATTTTATCTTATTTGTTTTATCTTAGGGAGGAATTCTGTGAAATTTTCCGAGCCAAAGACAGGAATACGATGAAAATGTACACTTGTAAAAAATTTATGAAAAAGGATGGAAGAAAAGTGCGGAAGGCTGCCAAGAATGAGATTTTTATTTTAAAAATGTGAGTTATTGATTTATGTTTTTTTTTAGCTTACTATTAAATGTCTAATGAAATAATATTGATGCAGTTACGTGCAAGTGTGATCACACTATGCAGACACTCTTAGTAGAACTCCATGCATTAGTATCTTCAGGATGGTATGTCATATGTTCTTCAGTCTCACCACTTGTCTTCCTATTCACTTCCTATTTACTCAGGAGTTGATTTTCCCATGCGCATGAGTCTCAAAAGCACATAACTGCATGCTTTTTCACTTAAGCATATTCTCCCATCTGCTTAAGTATGGGATTTACACACGCTTAGACTGGATACGCACTTTGTGTAGAGGAACACCATGGGTGTTCATCAATATCAAGAACGCAAAGTACATACATGTGTTCCTGCTCACTTGCCTCCCAACAACGAACTTGGGACGCAATGAATCATAGGATTTTTCTCATTGGCCAGGATGCAACAGAGGCATCCTTAATGTCTGGAGCTGGGCAAGAACGACGTCCATGGATTTTTACCATCTTCCATTCTTCTGTTCTTGAGTATTGGAACTGTATTTCGGCAATGGAAGATAACGTGAAACACGTATGCATGAATACAAGAATGATAAAATACACAATGTTAAACACCCCATAATATGGGTATTGCGTTTAATTGACACATACGAACGCATCCTGCTACTGACATTGTGCATTTTTTATTTTGCTGTTCATTACACGTTCTAGAGGGCTGTATTAAGTCACGTGCTCTTATATGGGCAAATGCAATATTGCAATATTAAGAAAGCCTAATATGGTTGTTTACTTAAGTCGTAAATAGAATCAGCATCACTTTGGCAATATAATGATGTATGAGCTGTTCTCCCTGTTTCGGCGCTTCTGTTGTGTTGGACCTAGTGATGTCTGATTCGTGAACTGGTTCTTTTCAGTGAATTGGTCAAACTGGTTTTCAAATCTAAAAGAACCAGTTAATAACCATGCCGCTCCCAACATCCTTTGCGAACAGCGTTTGTTGTATTCTGTATGTTGTGGCTTTGTGTTGGTTTTTATCCTTTAATTGAAGCATTTTAGACAATATGTTTCTTAAGATGCTCAAGATTTTATCAGACGTTTGGAGGCTGACTGTTCATTTTTATTTAAAACGCTAAAGCCTGCTTACGTGATTGCTTTCTTGTTTTAATTAGACAAGAGGCGATTGATATATGTTCACAAGACTCAGAGATGCCCAATATTCTAATTAAAGTAAGATTTCAATAAACATACAGTTTTATTCAACGTACCATAATGACCCGAATATTAGATTATAAGATAAGTTTTTTCCTCAAAATGCGTTTGAAAAAGTGGTGTCGTCTTATATTCGGGGTGAAGACAAAAAAGGGATTAGATGGCGCCAAATACGAGTGTTTTGATTTACCGTAATATAGATGTGCGTGAGCGGGAGCCCAAAAGCATCACGCCAGATGCGTGATAGTTGGCAACCCTAGCAATTTGCGTGTTTAGTGTGTGCCCCTGAGTGTCCTGTTAATTGTAGACTTCCCTGTTTGCGCCGCTGCTAGTATTAAACCAATAGTGGCTTTTACTAAAGGACACTCCTTCAATAAAATGCCCCAAAATGATTTTTATGCTCTTTATGTGGTTCTTCTGCATCGGAAACAGCCTGAGCCTTCAAGGGTTGTGGATTTTGTAATATTCACTCTCTATCAGAAAAATAGGTTTAACAAAAGTAACAACAGTGCATGTACAGTACTTATGCTCCAGTGAGAATGGGACAGACAGATGACCAGAAAATTCCAGGTGGATCGTGAAACTCTCTGTTTTAAACCAATATGGAGCGTGATTTGTTCCATATTTTCATACACATGCACTTCGTACACAGGGGTACACACACTAGGTCAGAGTTCCCCAAGAGAACTCTCTGACCAGGACACTTGCCTAACCATTCTGCACTTAATGGTGTACATGTGTGGCTTGTTAGTGACAGTGACTAGTAATTGGTTTGGGATAATTCATTGCAGCCTACGCTGTTACATATTATCTTGTGTAGACTATTCAGTTGATTGCATGGTTATTTTATCGGCAAAGCAATCTCAACTTTTAGGCCATGCTGCTAATCGTACTGACAGGTACACCATATCTTTCAGTTAGGCATTGCTTGTTTGCAGAATCGTTCTGAATGAAGAGGGAAAAAAAGCTGAAGTATATGGATACGTTCTTAAACACAATGTGGGTAACTCATTAGCATAACATTTCAATTTTCTCTACTTTCTTATATTAGTTTGATGACAGACTCACCTATTACTGCTTAAAATGTTGATTTTTGCCTTTGTTGTGGTTAATCGGTTTGCGATTGACAGTACAAAACAATTGACAGTACAAAACAATTAAAGAAATGAAGATACATCTTATAATAATTGATTGTCTATTGTGGGTTACATACAATAAAGCTGAAAGATTTAAAAACATTTTATCTAGTTTTGTGTTATTTGATCTTAAAAATGCAATGGTAGAGCTTATTTGGAGAAAATGGTTGAGGGATCATTAAATTAGAGCTCAAATGAAATAATATCCCTAATTAGGTTCACAATGAATATAAAAGATTCCATGTTTTATGTTTTGCTTGTTATCAGAATCATTGAGGATGTAACCCTCTTTTCTTGCTTGATGTACAGTATTAGTTAGATGTCTTGTATGGCTGCACCTTCTTTTTTGGGTTATGCATAGTGGGCGTGATCACGCTGACGAGGAGAGAATAAACGTAACTCAAAAGCACATAACTTTTTAAGCCCTTTTTTGACTTATGTGCCTGATGAGTGAATAGACCCCTCAGTCCTTCATTCTGAAATAATTATGAAACCTAATGTATAATGTGTATAGAGAGAAGCCTACATTTTATTTGAAATGCTAAATAGTCATTTTGAATTGCTAAATGGTGGTGAGAGACAGCTACAGTATTGGCACTTTCTTTGCAGACAGTATACACACTGAAATAGAGTAAAATCTCACAAATAACTCACAGTAAAAAAATAAATGCAATTATATCTTCCTACGAAACTAATGACCTGTCTGGAGCTAGACGGATTTAATGTGAGAGCTCTTCTCCTCTCCTAAACAATTTCTCCAGATGTTGCTTTTGCCATATCATTTATATCCTCATAATTTTCAAGAGGATTTAAATTTTTCTCTCAAGCTCTCTCACTCAGACACATTCTTCTCAGCTACTAACTTTGGGTACTGCATTATCATGCTCAAGCTTCATCCATGACGTCATCACTGCCAGAACCAAACAAACACAAAAGCTGAAAAGGGAGGTTAGTTGCTGAATTTTGGAGTGGAAAGAAATGCCTCTTTAGTTTGTAAAAATGAGAAAATGTATGACATTCCAACATTTCATTAATTGAGCTATGGTTTTACTCTTGTGATTTCCTTCTTGTGTAATTAACTAAAGTAAACCATTACAAATATTGAGCTGTCATGATTACTCGATGAAACTTGGTTACTCGATTGTAAAAAAAGCTTGAATTAAAATATGCCTTCTTGATGACTAGGCAATATGCCAGAAAGAAGACAGTGGATGAGGGTGTAACTACAAAGAATGAACATCCTCAGCTGTGTGGGACCACTTTGACATTTAAAGCAGGGCTGGGGGATATCATATCGATATTATATCGCGCATTGGCAATAATCACCAGGGCTTCAGATGACAGATGAAGCGTTTGGCCGGACGCCAGCTTTTCGGTGAAATACGGACATTAATTTATGTCCATAATTTGGTAAGAGGATTAGTAGTATGGCTAAAATATTAATGAGATGCGTTTTGTGATACACAAAAGTTAGTAATCTGTATAAACTTAATGTTTCTTAAATTCGATTAGCGGAGCACCCCACATAATACTGTTTTGGTATACTGCGGTTTGGTATACTGCGGTTTGGTATACTACGGTTTGGTATACTACGGTTTGGTATACCTCAGTGCAATATGCACTGAAGTCGCAGTGAAGAAGAGAAGCCACGATATCTTTTAAAAGAGGAGATCTTGTGGATAAACAACGTAAAAAGACGTCAGCGGTGTGGTGGTACTTTTTGCAGTTCAAAGTCTGACACATTTATGAACCATAAGGATATGCCGTATTTATACTAATAATGACTTTTGGACGGGCGGCATGGTGATGCAGTGGTTAGCACTGTTGCCTCTGAGACCTGGGTTCGAGTCTGCGCCTGGGTGTGTGGAGTTTGCATGATCTCCTCGTGTCGTCGTGGGGTTTCCTCTGGGTACTCCGGTTTCCCCCCACGGTCCAAAGACATGCTGAGGCTAATTAGCATTGCTGAATTGCCCTTAGGTGTGCATGTGTGAGTGAATGGTGTGCAAGTGTGCCCTGCGATGAGCTGGCCCCTGTCCAGGGTTGTTCCCTGCCTCGTGCCCGTTGCTTCCGGGATAGGCTCCGGACCCCCCGCGACCCAGTAGGATAAGCGGGTTGGACAATGGATGGATGGATGACTTTTGGACATCATACAAAGCCTCATTAATATAGCCATACTACTAAACTGCTTAAATTATGGGCGCAAATAATGTCCGTATATTACCGAAAAGCTGGAGCATGACCAAATGCTTCGTCTGTCGATCATCTGAAGCCCTGGTGATTATTGCACATGCGTGATAAAATATCGATGTGATATCACCCAAGCCTAATTTAAAGTGAATGAAAATGCACTTGTTGCAGAACTTAGTATTCAAGTAATCTCTCAATTCAATATATGGTTTTATTGAGTAATCGTTTATATAGTACAGACGCTCCTCTACTTACAAACTTTCAAATTACGAACTTTCAGACACACGAACGAAGAGGACAGTAAGTCCAAATTGTACTGTATTCCTTGGGCTCTCGTTTCCTGTCCGCAACATAACTTTTTTTTCTGCGCGGCAATTCCACCTAGTACGACTTCTGGCCGCTACTCCCGCCGCGCAGCAGCGTAGCGTGCGTACTCCCAGCATCCTAGTTTTTTGTACTTGCATATACCCTTAAAATGATGTTGAATAACGACTTGTGAACATTTCAAGTTACGAACAGCCGTTTGGAACGTAACTCATTTGTAAGTAGAGGAGCGTCTGTATATATAATATAGCAATTGAAGGTTTTCATCTTCTTGTGTATGCAAATATTCTGGATTCCACAGAGTTGATATTGAGCAAAGACACCAATTTGTGTCTGTTGTCACAACTCACAGCAACACCACCAACTGAACTGATAGACTCTTTTGACAGATAGGAAATTATATGTGGTTATAGTTCCTTTTGGATCATTTTTTTTGTTTGATAAATATCACAATATTTATCGCAAGCATTTCAAATATTTTTTCCAATATCATTCAACCCTACATAAAATTATATATACACAGTGGTTATTAATTAATATATGGTTATTAGCTACTGTATTATGTAAAGTGACGTTGCTAAGCGATGGGTGTAGCCTAATTCATTGTAGCAGTGATTATCTTGATATGCAGGAAATGTAGAAAGTACATTAAGCTAAATAATTTAGGTCAAAGTGACGATAAATATTTAATGTACCATATTTTCACAACCTGTATGAAAGTTTTTTATATGTATATATTTGGGGGATCAAAATGCAAAAAAAACATTTTGTTAGGGGGAATAATTAAAATTACAAAAAAAGTTATTAATTGATAACAATTGAAAATAGGATTAAATACACTTGCGATAATAAAGATTTGAAATGTTAGGACCTCAAAGGAGCTCTTTTTCTAAAGCAGCATGTTTTTAGAGTTACTGCTTTCAGAAAATGCTCACTCTGTCTAAGCATTATGTCAAAATACTGAGCTGATATTTTGCAGTTTTGATCTTGTTCCTATTGGATATGTCCTCTCTTCTTGTTCATTAATAATGTGTTTAAGGCCGTACAGATGTCATTCACTGCATTTGTTTGTTCATTGCGGTATTCTCTGTAAGCTTTCCAAGATACTGGAACTATCATGTACCAGCAATCACAACGTCACCATTAAAGTCATGCATCTTTGCTATTCTAATACTTCGCTAACCAGTAAGACATTGAACGGCATGGTAGCTAAATGGGCAGCACTCTCACCTCATACCGGTGTTAGACGGCTTTTTGTAAATTCTGACTTCCTCCTGCAGTCCTGCTACCTGGAAAAGGCTCAAAACCACCCTGTGCCCTAACAAGTGTCTTTACTTTATTGTCATTTCACACGCATGAAACCGTGTACCACGATAAGCAGCTGGAAGGTGGATAGTTTGAGATACACTATTGAAATATGTCGTTTGTCTGTGGCACTTCAAGTGTACGCATTCTGTTTAAAAAATATTTGAGTTTTTGCATATGTCAGCATAAAAAAATTAAATGCAGGTGTATTTATACACATAATACAGTAGTGTGATTATTAACTTTTCAAGTTCAAAATGAGTATGCTGACTTGAAGCTACTTTTATTTAATTTGTGGAATTTGGATAAAAAATAATACTAGCACTTTTACTGCTAAGGAAACTGCAGCTTTACCACACCATTCAAGTAAACATGTTGTTGAGTGCAGATGTTGTGCCAAAATGGTGGAGTGTCCTTGGTGTGTACAGTTTTGCATCTTTACCAAAGCGATGCCACATGCGATCTGAGTTGCTCTCTTTTTTTCTGGTTTCCTCACAGGGTGAAGCATCCTAATATTCTGCAGCTGGTGGATGTCTTTGAGACCAGGAAAGAGTACTTCCTGTTTCTGGAACTGTAAGTAAGCTCTTCGCTGTGCGGCTCAAAAAAAAAAAAATTCTTCGCACAATGAGCTTTGAGTTGTATGCACATTTATAGGAAACAAACCAGGAAACAGCCTGGGGGTGAAGCAGATTATAAGATATTTCTATATTAAGCTTTTTTTATTTATTTATAGCAATATGACTCTCATATGTTTGTTTTTCATAGAGCTTCAAACAAGTGTATATGTTCCACCTTAAAATTATCGTTTCTGAACTGGTTAGAACCAAATGAAATACCGGTTAATAACATTCCATGTTGGGTTGTGTGACATGACAATATGTAACTTTTGGAGGGTATAAAAATGGCTAATGATAGATGCTGTACTTTACTCTGTCGCATTGGGTTTTCTCTATATTGTCCCATCTAATCTCAAATGTTTAAATAAGAAGAATGAGAAACTTAGTCATTTTGTGACCCCAGTTAATAAATTTGCCAATAGACTGTACAGGGTACATTATGTTTAACCTAACTGGAGCTAGCTAGCTATTTCCAACATTAATTACATTGTAGCCTATCTATGAAACATTGATGAATATGATATCTAAGATCAACATTTATGAGAAACATTGCATAATATTTACCTCCTCTGATTGTAAATAAGCACTTTCACGCAATATCACTGCATACTGTGCATAACTCTGTCTTTTATTGTAAGGTGGAGTGATGTTCAGAGGAAGTAATCTTAATTTGTGACAAATACAAACAACAAAATGTCACCATTAGAAAAACTGGTACCATTATTTCAAATAAATATAAATTTTTGTTCCTATCATCTTGATTGTTTCTAGTTTTCATTTTTGTTCCTTGAACCAGTTCAAAGCCTTCATTTTCCATAGAGTCCATTGTATGTAATAACTTATGTATTGATTGTTCACACTAAAATTAATTTACGCAATGAACACAATTTGCTTTATTCACCATTGAGCTAAAACATTATGACCACTCCCATATGATGGGAATAATATTGATTACAGTATATGGTAAAAATGGCCTAAATCAAGGTTTGGGATATATTACACAGTAAGCTAACTTTCAGTACTTATAGTCGACATGTTGAATATAGAAGAAATGGGATCAGGGTGACATTGATAAGAACCAAGTCATCATGAGCAGGTGACTAGGCCAAAGCATATCTGAAACTGTAAGGTTTGTGGGGTGCTCATGGTCAGCTGTGGTAGGCACCTACTGACGGTGTTCAAAAGGAGTGGAAAACCACGATCCGCCGGAAGGATGCTTGGCAGCCATGACTCAACGATGCGTGAGGGCTATCTCATCTGGTAAAAACCAACAGAAGGGCTACTGTGGTACATACTGCAGATATTTTAATAAAGGTTATGAGAGTTATGTGTCATGACACATGCATAGTTTGAGATGACAAGATTTAGGGTATGGAAATGTTAAAATATTTTAGATTTAATTTGCAAGAATAATTTATATTTTTGATTTTGAGGGGTGGTACAATTGAAATTTTTTTGAGTTTGAGGGGTGGTACAAGTTGTAGGTGCAAATTTTGCCTCCACTCCATGTGCGTGAAGTTGGCATGTTGCATGGGTCACCTCCACCAGTCCAAATACCAGGATTTCTACACAGTATGGAAAATTACAGAATTTGATTTATTGATGAAATCAATTATGTAAATTGGCCGCCAGCTACAGAATGTGCACAGAATGTTCACTGAAGACCAATGTCCCAAGCAAAGGACTGGGGGTGTGTCTCTGGGGTGCAAACTTTATTAATCTCCAGCAAGAAATATTGATGTAGGGTACCTTGCAATTTACAATGCTCACAATGGGGAAATGCAAGCTTGCTTCGCTTGCCAGTCCCAAATGTTTTGAACACAGGACACTTGTTAAGTATGTGTTGGGCTGTGGCGTTGCCCATCTCAGCGCAGCCAGTGGCCGATCCTGGCAAGGGCAAGATGGGTAGTTGCCCAGGGTGGCATCTTCTGGGAGGGCAGGTCTTTGGCAACCTGCACTCTCCAAAGACTTAGAGTATTGGAATGCTGTTAAAATATTGTTAAATTGAAATAGAAATTTTAAATAATTTAAAATTGAAATAAAGTTTTTAAACATTTTAAAATTTAAAACTTAAAGCACTCCCAACAACTTTTACCCCCCTACCCCAACCTTGGTTTACTTTGTGAAAATATGGAATTTTAAAAGAGGAAAGAAATTCCGCATTTTTGCTCTGGGAGCTGGGATGGAGCATAAACATGGACTGTCTGTGGGTCTCTGAGGACCGGATTGAGAAACATTAGTCTATGATACCGGTTGAATGACATGAATTTATTACCTGTTCTCTACTTAGGGCCACCGGCAGGGAGGTGTTTGACTGGATCCTGGACCAAGGATATTACTCTGAGAAGGACACCAGCAATGTCATTCGACAAGTGATGGAGGCAGTGGCCTACCTGCATTCACTGCATATTGTTCATAGAAACCTCAAGGTATGGCCCAGTGTTGACGAAAGCCTTACAAATAAGTAACATTCTTGTGTGTGACTCGACACCCTTTCTGCATCATAATAGACAAAGTTTTCTAATATTTATTATTTTGGTATTTTAAGTTTCACAGTGAAATGTTCAATTTTTAATGGTCACTTGCAAAAAATAATAATGTTCCATGTTTTGCCAGCTGGAGAATTTGGTATATTACAATCGTCTGAAGCACTCCAAAATTGTTATAAGTGATTTCCACTTGGCCAAGCTGGAAAATGGACTTATTAAAGAACCCTGTGGTACACCAGAGTATCTGGGTAAGACACTTTGGGAGTTTAGGTCTTATGAGAAGAGATATCTGAATATATATAGAAAAAAATCATTTAAAATAATATGTCTAGCAGTATATTTGATTTTGGTTGCCACAATTTTCTTTCAGCTCCAGAGGTAGTTGGAAGACAAAGATATGGAAGACCAGTTGACTGCTGGGCTATTGGTGTCATAATATATATATTGTGAGCATTCCTCATTATTTCTTCATTTACTGATAATTATGCCAACTCAAAGAAGGTTATTGGCCAAATATGGTGCAGTGAGTATAAATTAAGAATGATGTGTCAGGCACAACCTGATAAGTAACAGAAACTGGAAGATTCATGTGTTCAGTGCAGTGGGGCTGTAACCAAAGTGCAGTACACTCCTGATACTATATCGTTATGGGGCATTATGTCTCTAAACTGGAAAAATTTAAATAGGAGTGGTGGATGGATGTATTGCTTTTTAGAAATGTGTTTTTTTTTCAGCACATTTTTTTCAGCACATTTCACCATCCTTCCCCTCCGCAGACTGTCAGGAAATCCCCCATTCTATGATGAGTCCGATGATGATGACTATGAGAATCACGACAAGAACCTCTTCCGGAAGATCCTGTCTGGAGATTATGAGTTTGATTCACCATACTGGGATGACATTTCGGATTCAGGTATAGGAAAGAAAGAAAAAAACGCAATGCGCTAAGTCTTTATTCCACATGAAGTCCGGAATTTGTTTTAGGTAATTAATATTTCTTGCAGCGAAAGGGTTGGTGTCCTGCCTTATGGAAGTGGACCAGGACCAGAGACTGACAGCTCAGGAAGCTATCACCCATGAATGGTACTGAGATATATGTGGCTTGTATTTAGGTGTTTACTGCTGTATACTTGTAAAACTTATTAATATGTATAACGATATTTTTGTACCTTGCATAAAATGAGAAAAATATGTTGATATACATCATTCAGGTACAGACATGGCAAACGTGAGTACTGTGTATGTGTAATCTGAAATGCACTTATCCTGTCACCATAGAGCATTTTATAAAGTAATTTTGGTAGTCATTTCCATTTTTTATAGTCATGTTTTTCTCCGTTAGGATTTCTGGAAATGCAGCATCAGACAAGAACATTAAAGATGGTGTCTGTGCACAGATTGAAAAGAATTTTGCCAAAGCCAAGTGGAAGGTAAGATCTATTTTTTACTGCATTTTGTTTTCTCTTTATTGTTCAAGACTACAAGACTATTCTTTATTTTTTCTTCTTGGCGTTAAACAGCACAATATGAAATCTAGCTATGTGTCAGCTGATTCAGAAACATAATAGGCCCAATGGGAACCAATGCATAAAAGTATCAGATGATCAGAAAATTAGAATATGCTTGGTGTTACAACTTTTACCTCCAGCTCTGTGCAAGTTTTCCTGCCACAGTGCTAAAATCAGACATTAACCATCCAATATTCAGTCATTTCAACACTGTTTTAGGCCCTGAATTAATATCACATCTTAGGATAATGTCATTCATCTGTATCTGAACATAAGTCGGTTCTTCTTTAACATACAGTGTGCAGTAATGCACTGTTCCATTATCTTCCATTCGTATTCTGCTGTGCAGAAAGCAGTGAGGGTCACAACCCTTATGAAGAGACTCCGGGCTCCTGAACAGGCTGCTTCGGCGGCAGCCAACCCCACGGCAGAAGCCTTGACCACCCCGGCACCTCAAAGCGGCTCGCTTGCATCGCCAGCTGTGGTCCCCGGCAGCACCCCTGACAGCACGGAACCTCCCACTACCAACAAAGACACAGAGAGCAAACCTGACAGCGTGGGTGTGATAAGAGTCCCCGACTCTGCCCCTGAAGTGGGCAACTCATCATCACTGAGCAATGGGGAGGCTCCAGCCCCAGAGCAGACGTCCTCAGAGGCCAGGGATGAGCAGAATGGTTAAACATGCCCACTCTGCCCTCGCGTCCTGTATATTAGCTGGTGGCATGGTGGCCATGTATCTGCTTACCTCCTCACCCGCAGCTTTCGTACAGTATGGTCTTATAAAGCCTGTGTTCTCTCTTGGTTTATGGGATGGCCTATGTTTATCTCTCCAGAGAGTTTATGTGTACCTGCTTTTTCTGCATTGTCCCTCTCTTGACGCTTGTTCCAGCCTTACTGATGCCTTTCTTGTTGAATATGGAACAGCAGCCAGCAGATGCTTGAACTATCCTTGTTTCCACCAGAGGAGATCTAGGCGGTCTGTCTTTTCTGTAATTTACCCCTCATACTTAGCATCATTAGTCCTCTTTATTGTTATGGCAATTTATGTATTTCCCTGTATAAATGGGAATAGTTTATATTATCTGTTAAGGTCCCTGTTTTATATATTTTTTATTTTTTGCTTGACAGGTAAAAAAGCATACCTGTAGTGCTCTTTTAGCTGTGTAGTACTCAGTGACTAACAATTTCATACAATAATGTAAATAAAAGTGATAGATATAGAAGCAATCTAATGCACCATGTCCATCCACTCATTGTGCTAAGTTCAAGTTACAAAAAAGAAATTGTGTCAAGCAGTCCATCCCTTTAATAAGGTAAAGGTAACAAGATTCAGGGTAATCTTGCCTTTTGTGGAAGAAATGCAAGATTGTATCAATGTTAAACTTCACTCTACTCTTCTAAAAGAAACAAAGAACTCCTTAAATGTTTAAGTGCTGTAAAGGTATAGCCAAACAGAATGCAACCAAACATTTAATGTTAATTTAGTATTGTTTGCAAGCAAAATTGTGTATACTCACTACAAGCAAATACCATTGTCATGTTTTATATTTGTTAATGTTGTTGACTGAGTTTTCCTTTGAAATGTGCATTATTAGATTAGTACGCCATAATCGCAAGACCACAAGATATATATCTATAGTATATCAATAAATATTCAGCAAAGGAAGTCTCACATTGTGTATGAGATCATGTGCCCCTACTTCATTTAATATAACATGAACTGTGCAGTGTGTATCTAGGTAAATGATGAAAATCCCAGAAATCTATATTCAATATATAGATGAAATTGTTGGAATATAAACTGTGTCTGATTGTTTTGATTTTGCAATTTGCACAACATGTTAATGCATGTTATTGTATTGAGTTGGCAGGGACGAGAGCATAATATCATGGTATGCATCTCCAAACTTCATGCACATACTGTACATCTTTTGGTCCAGGCAGTGCAGGTCTCCTTTGAACTCTTGTTTGAACTAATCCCTTGGTTGTTCTTGCAATGAAAGTTTTTTTTTTACTCTGGTTGCTATGCACCAGATTACTGCTCTGTGAATACCAGTATTATAAGCTAAAGATCCTATGTTAAAAATGTTTTTTTTAATAACAATGAACTTGCTGTACTACATTATCTTTATTTATTAATTTATGTATTATTGTTAATTTAATGTGATTTGATGTGTCTTATCATTTCCTTTTTAATGAATAATAGATGAGCAGAATTCACTGTTGGGAATGTCCCAGATTATACTGCTGTCATACTGGTATCAGTGGTATTATCATAGCCATGATGCTGTGATGCTACACTTTGTAATCCCTATACTGTATATATATATGTGTGTGTGTGTGTGTATATATATATATATATATATGAGCAAAAGTCAAACTGCTATAATTACACTCATTATTTGCCCTTGAGATGCTTTTATCCTGACTGACTTACATGGATTACAGTTGTTTTCTTCATAACCACATAACCATTTATGCAGCTGTGCTCACGATTGTGACAGCAGTAACCGTTCTTGGATCTGACCTTGCTGTGTTTCCTTGCCACTGTATCATGGCCTCCTTTAACAAAATGCTTGTTTCCACATAGATTCCAGAAAGCACTGGTGATGGCACACGTTTCTGTGCTATTTTCTAACAGCCAGCACACTTTCCAAATAGTCATCAGTTCCGGCAATTAACTTCGCAAATCTGTGACCAGAAAACCCCTTTCTTGTGTAATTATTTAACACAAAGGTGATGTCAGTTTTCAGGGAGACATATATGAACTTTTCTGTTTTTTCCAGTGTTACACTAATACTAGATATTACTTCAAAACAGATACCACTACAATCACTAGTGAAAATTTAGGCATATTACTAACAACAAACTTTGGCTTATTTATTTGTTCTAAAGAAATGTGATATATTGTGAGTAGAGTTATAGTACTAGATACTTTTTATATTGTATCCAAACCATATGGTTTATATTAAAAAATGAAATTTTACTTATGGAAAGAAATATTTATCATCTGATCTTTAATTGCTGATAGCAGTAACAATATTCTATAGTGATGAGAGCTGCAGCAATGACTGTACTTCACAGCTTTACAAAGCAATGCCTTTTTGCATACACATTCTGTGGTACAAATAATTAAATGTGTTAATTTCTTCATGCACTTACTGATGGGTTTATAATTGTATTTGTCTCTGCTCTGGGAAACCAGTAGTCTCGTGTCTACATGTAATTCTCGTATTCTTTGAAATTTGATGTTAATAAAACACATATGTGAAAATTAATTGTTTGATCTCAAGATCTTCTTAGGATGCCTCATAGCACATCATAACTTCTCGTTCTTTGCATCGGACAGAATAATTGACCTCTGCCAGTAATTTTGATTCAGCTGCATGTTTTTTTCTGTTTCAGATACATATTAAACAATGCCTATTCATAGTTGTTTAAGCAATTAAAATCTTAATTATATAAATCCCACTTAAAATAACTTACTTTAAGTCAATAAAAAATGAAGCGAAGAGATAATAAAAGATAATAATAATAATAATAATAATAATAATAAATAATAATGCATCTGCTCAAATTCATCAGATAAAAATAATTGAATTGTATAATATTGTGTACAAACTACGATATACACATAAATTCCATAAATTGTTGATGGATGGAACATTTCTTCACAGATTTACTTTCTATTCCATTTACTAATGGAGGATGTGGAAACATCTAGTTGGTCCTGCAACAAGAAATTCATATTGATATTATAATTGTTTAGCTGTAGATTAGCCGGGAGATTCCCATGTTTTGAATGCCTACCTGGAGTTTACTGATTTTTATAACAAAGAAAAAAAAATAAAAACAAAAAGGATGCAGGAATGCATTTAAAAGTGTAACCTATAAAAACATAAAAGGTACTGAATTTAGAGATTTAGAAAGTAGAACTATTTAACATATGAAGAATTAAGACAAGTATGGAAGTATAGCAAGGGCTGAGAAAATGGGAATCACTAAAAGAATTAAACTTTTGCTCTCAAACCAGACTTTCATTGCATGGAATCCACAAAATGTTGGAAATATTCCTTTGAGATTCTGGTGCACGCTGACATGACTGCGTCACGCAATTTCTGCAGATGTGTTAGCTGCACATCTATACTGCGAATCTCCCATTCTACCACATCCCAAAGGTGATCTACTGGATTCAGGTCCGATGAATGGGAAGGCCACTGAAGAACACTGAACTCAGTTTTGGTTCATGAAACCAGTTTGAGATGACTTTGGTTTGGTGACACGGTGCATTATCATGCTGGAAGTAGCTATTAGAAGATGGGTGACTTGTGGCCATGAAGGGGCACACAAATAGGCTGTGGCATTTAAGTGATGATCAATAGGTAATAATGGGCTCAAAGCGTACCAAGTAAACACTCCCTACACCAACCGCCACCACCAGCAGCCTGGACTGCTGACACAATGCAGGTTGAGTCCATGGATTCATGCTGTAGACGCCAAATTCTGACTCTACCATCTGTGTGCCTCAGCAAAAGAGCTACATTTTTTCCAGTCTTCAACAGTCCAACATGTAACATGTATCCTTGAGTCAGGTTTGCTTTTGGATAACTATCGGAGGGTTTGACTGTGATAGCTTTCACCTGCCAGCTAGCTCGCGACTTGTTAGTTCACTAACTGAGCCACCTATATCAGAATCAGAATACTTTTATTATTCCAAAGGAAATCGTTTATCTACGTGTATCTATGGAACCACCATGCTTACAGAGTGAACTATGCCTCACTGGGCCATTAGATCAGCATTTGTGAAACTGATCTACAACACCTTATCTGATTGTGGCCTAGTAAACCCCAGGGACACTAAAGTTCTGTTTTAGGGCATAACTAACACACTAACATAATTAACACAACTGGCAGAGTGATTTCACAGTTGTTCCCTTAACCCCAGTTGCTCCAGGGACATTGACCTTGTTCTCTGATACTCACTTATTTATTGCTTTGGACAAAAACGTCTGTCAAATAAACAAAAAAAAACAAGCAAACAGATCAATAGACAGACAAACAAACAAACAAATAAATACACTGCAAATATATTAGATAGACTATAAAGAAAGCTAACTGTACAGTTATCATTTCCTCCATGTCGAGTAAAAGAGGCCCACAGGACATATAGATCCATAGGAGGGGATCATTGAAAAACCTGTGAGTGTCAGGACTCATCTGTGTTTGTGAAAAAAATATACAGTATATGTAGCCTACATTTTTAAATGCCATGTCTATGGTTAAAATTTCATATTCATGGCAACGTCTGTCAAAATATGCCATGGTGTTGAACGCTGGTTTGGTCAAAAGCAAATGGGAAATCACTCAGGAAAAAAAAAACACTTAGTGGCAGAATTATGACAAAGAACTTAAATGAAATGTCCAGCCAAATAATATCCCATATCATGTCAAAAGACAATAAATAGAACAAAATACAAAAAACATATTCAACTAATACAGCATTTAATTTAAATGCTTCAGAACCAAATAGTACAAAATGAGTCTGATTACTGGACTGCGGACAGATCGTTTTTATAAAGTTCCTTTACTGCCCCCTAGAGCAATGGAGAGGCTTTTTCAAAGACCACTCATATGAGTGAATTCCTGGTGAATTTATTTTGGATAAGATACAAAGTCTAAGCACTAATCATAAAACCATCCAATATTATACAATAATATATACTTTTTAATGCTGAACTTATTAAAAGCTTATCACCAGTATTGTTCTCCAGTTGGATGAAAAACAAATACTGCAGTACAAAAGAGAGGTGTTATTTTTTGGCAATGATGACAGCAAACATTAATGTGTAAAAAAGACAATGTAACATATCCGGAAGTGATCCTTGGCGCTATTGTAAGGTTCTTATTTTCTCATACACACATTTTTTGGGCTTACCTAGAGTCATTGTGTAACTGGATTTTATTATAATCGCCTGTTAAGTTAGGAGCATGGTTGAGGTTTGCTGAAATCTGCAACACATATTTATCAGCAAATATTTTAATAATTTCCAGCTAGAAGAACTTTTTATGGGCCAGAACTAAAATGTGTTTAACAGTTTCTTTTACACAAGAAGAAAGCAGTTACCTTCTTATTTGGCATTGTGTTACATGGATAATCTTATTGAAAAATATTATAATGGTGGACTAAAACAGCAAATAATGTTCGTAACCAGTAAACATGGTAGCATCATTGAAAGCTGAATATTTCTTAACATGTTGCTATATGGAATGTTTAAGTGAGCTTATTCCCATGTTGTTTAAGAAGTTAGGTTTATGACCATTAAATGATACAAAGTGATAGATCTGTGTCATAACAGTAGGGTTACAGGTTAGAATATTAAGAGAAAAATCTCTTGTCTTACATTTCTGTTGTTTTCATCTTATTTTTGTCTGAATATTATGATAATTTATCTGTGTTTGAAGCTGGGTAGCTTGTAAATATCTAAAGGGGCCTACTATTCTTTGTACCAACTGCAAACTAACAACGCAGGACATAAGTGTTATAAGTACAATGTTGATGTAATATAAAGTGTGTTAAGCCAATTGTTTTCAGTTGGTAATCTACACTGAACCAAATCGTGATGTGAGCACAGATACACGGGGGCATCGGAACCCTAAGAGATTCAGGGGGCCTAGCACTTTTCAGGGATGCTAGAATGTGTAAAATTATAAAATTATTTATTGTAAGGGGGTTGGGGGCCCCAAGGTGACATTTTGTGACGGGGCCCCAGAATGCCGATAGCTACTCCCCTGCAGATTCATAAATATAAATCATGTGATATAACCACACATTAACTGGAATCCTATCCAAGGAGTCATTCACTCTGCTTTTTGTGTCCTGACTGGATACGTGCATATGGAAAATAAGACAATATACACCTCTAATAATAATCCTGACTGTAGGCAAAGAATTTTCCAAACCACCACGCTAGGTGTCAGTATAATATAATTATGCATCTTTACCCTCTTCCCGTCCGCTCTTTTTTACATTTTTGCCGCGCCTCTGCTTGACCTCTTGATGTAATTTCCGCTATAGTTCACGCAGTTCTGGCTGAGTGGTTTGTGCGTTGCTTTCGCTCAGCAGCAGTCGCGGTGGGGGCTCAGAAGACGGAGGCGCCAGCTTCCTGTTTCTTGCTTTGTCAGTGGCTAGCTGTAGCGTTCGGATACGTTTGCTGCCAGTCGCTTGTGTTTGTTTATGGTAAATATGTCTGAAAACAACGATTGATCTTTCAAGGGATATAATAAAATAATAAACATCGCCTTCCCGTGGTTTTAGTAGCACAAGATACAAAGATGGATAAGATTGTCATTAGCTAAGTCCTTTTAGTACTACAACATCCATCAGCGATCTGCGACTGCAGAGGACACACTTCCGGACTTCATCTTTCATTTTTCTAACAGCAGTAGGTTGGTGGTAGAAGAAAGAAAACGGTGCGTCCATCATATATATTTTTTGTTTATCAAAAAGTCTTTAGAATATAAAATAAAAAGCTTTCAGTGCAAGCATTAAGTTGAGAGGATGTCGCTAGGTATAGCTAATAATGCAGTGCGACGACGTCTGGGCTAGCTGTAGTATCCTGCTAGCTAACACTTCATCTGTAATATTGTTAATGATGTTACGAACTTATGAAAACACGGTTTACGGTTAGAATAATGTCTGTGGCTAGATATTTATCTTGGTCCACTTTTAAGGGGTGAGACACTATTTCTAAGTGTTAGCACTGAGTTTTAGATTTTAGATACAGCTAGCAACTTGTCGGACCTCGCAAAAATACCCACCACCATTTTGAAGAGATAGTGGAAATAGATTCGCCAGGTACCCGACTTCGATGGTGTTAAATTGCCTGCTTAGTCAGATTGCTTGTTAGGTGGATGACTGCATGATCACTCAACGAGGATGTAACTGCATCTTACTAACCCAGTCAATGAAAATTCAGGTGTACGTCTTCCATTAAAATGTTGAGCAGTAACCTCAATAAGCGAAGCGTGCCGTTATATAATTAACATTGAATCGGCGTTTTAATATGTTAAATATTGGATCTGCAAATTTAATTGAATTACTTTTTTTTTTAGATACGTTATCATATAGGAGTTTTTTTGAGGTGTAAGCCGATATTACTCAGTCATGTGGGATGGTGCTCGACCAGGTCCACGAGGAGGACCGCCCTTACGGTAAGAAGCTGAAACACATATTAATGTAAAAATATTGGCATTTCCTGGTTATCTATAATAAATTGCA